ACGAATAAGCATCATTCATTTGGTTTCTGCTTTTGATCTTACTTGAGCTTCTGAGTCTCACTGCGCATGGTCAGATATCTATCGGGTTCCAATCCAGTATACCAACCTCGGCTCTGACGCTTAAGGCAATACCAACGCCTGCTTGACCAGATGATGAAGCGATAGGGTTCCCGGAGACGCGAAGTTGAAACGCTTCTTTAAGATTGGAAGACTAATCGAATCCTGGATGCGTTTCCGAGAGGCAGCACACATCAATCTCTAAACTTTCGAGCGTACGAGCCAAACCTGCTTGTTTTCCTATACGCATTAGAGTTCTCACGTTGAATGAAGCCAGTTTGAACGCAGAGTGAGGTCGGAGGAATGGAACGATCAGTTCCGAGACAGATGTCAAGGAGGATAGCGGCGAGCTACAACATGAACCTACGTCAGTGGAACCGTTCGGGGTGGAACAAACAGTGGAAAAAATGGGGGTATTGTGTGGGGGGCGGGTGTAAGTGTTGCGTGCAGATTTCAAGAAAAAGCTTGACAGAAGTGTAATAATCTGTGACATGTGTGTGTATGTCCATAAGTCTATGGTTAGTTTGTGGGCGTGGTATTACCCGGTTGCCCAGGCCGAGGTAGAGGGTTCTCTTGGGGGACCCTACTCTTGGTTGAAGAACCTGACCCACAAGGCAGTGGGGTGGAGTACGGAGTCCACGATTCTCCGGGAGCCGGTGAATTGCAAAAAAGCGTTTGCGAAATCCATGAGTAAGCCGCAATTTTATCAAGGCTAAAGATCCTTCCAAAATTAAAATTCCAGATTCCAATATTCTATTGCACATCAAAATCGCACTAGAACTAGGTTCCTAAAAGAATAAGGATAGAACTGTAAACGCATGGATGCGGCTTCTTGAAAAGCGGTCTGAGATTATCATACTGCTTGAACCATAGAATAAACGTGCACCGAGAGAAATACGCGTTTGAACTTAGCTCATCAACAAGTAAGCTCTTTTGCTTAGGTTTCATTCAGTGGATAATAGTTGTTTGTGTAAACGATTGTTCTGAGCAGCTACTGCGAAGGCGGACTGATAATAGTATATCTTATAGAACAAATGAACATCATGATCATGATCACCTTTGTAAAGCAAAATGCAGCGAAACACTTCAAATAGAGAAAACAGAAACACAGCAAGTAGACTTCACTGTTCGCTGCAAAACTCGCAATACACACACACACATACATACACACACACACACACACACACACACACACATATATATATATATATATATATATATATATACAGAGAGAGAGAGAGAATGATTTACCTGTATCACCAACTCTTCTGGGAATCCCAAAGCTTTGAGACGATCGATGGCTGCTCGTTCCTCAACAGTCATTGTAAAAATGTGTTGCCGCGGTTCTGGACGTCGAGTTCCGGGGGCACCAGCCTCTGTGGATTCACGACTCTCCGCATCTGCTCCCTCGGCAGAGATAGGTGCATTGAGAAACTCTAAGAAACCCTGCTCGTTTTCCTGAATTAGCTGCAAAATATCAGGTTTAGTGAAACAATATATTGAACAAATTGACTATATGCGGTTTGGTGAAAAGATTCATAAAACAACACAAATTTGATTCAAACTCCCGTAGTGATCTGAACCCAATTATGATACAGCGTATTGAATTCAAACAGATTACGAAGTACACTGCGGTTGAAAGTATCGAGTTGAAGAATGTGTAGAGTACCGCGTTTATTGATCCCTAACGGCGTATTGAAAACTATAACCAGCTTGTGTATTGAAGCTTAATTCAGAAATTACTAGTCCCGGGCTTCTATGGGGCGACTTCATTACCACCTCCCACTATTACTTTCGAACACAGACAAAAAAGGCATTTCGTATTACTCATCGTTATCCTAACTACTTTAGAAATTACTGATAATGATGGCTTGAGGGTGATGGCAATTAAGGTCCGGTGGGAAATGTATACCTCTTGTGTAATTAGCTGTTTCGATCAAGTCAGAGCTCTTGTTACCCGCACTTAACAGTAGGTGAGGTCTGGACTCAAGTCACCCGACTGTGGTGGTAGGCAGCTCTACTGCCATCCGGTTCAATACCACACCCAACATATCAGGCTTTATGTGGTTCGCCACTCCAAGTCCCGGGGCTTAGGTTGGCGGTTACAATCACTGAACAGTAGATCCTTGTGATTATGGGGTTCGCCCCGTCTACTGTTCAACACACTTAGGTGTGCAAAAAATCATTCAATGCTATTGACGATGATAGACAAGTTAATATATTACTTTTGTACATCTGTCCAATGCCAAACATCACATAATAAGCTTTACAAAAAATGTTTAATGATTCTCTGGTGGGCGCAGGACAGAGAATGTTGTAGAAATTCACTGTGAACTCCTTCCTCCAATCAACAAAAAACGAAACCGCTGAAAACATTAGGAAACGTAAGATGTAAAACCAAAATATAACGCCCGTGAATTTTACATTCCATCATGACACTGAACCTTGACGTGGCGTGATGGTTTGCATGCATCCACGACCCTGCAAGTTACACCGAATAACTTTTCACAGCCACAGACGCAGTCATGCCTGAAATGTCTACTGGTAAGGGCCAGATAAAGCTCATTCTCACAGCCAGCTGCTTGGGTACCCGTCTATCCACGCTCGCCTCTGGAGGAGTCACTCCAGCAAATATACACGGGGGCAGTTTACCGGTTAGAAAAACCCAGCTGGATGGAAGTATGAGCAAGGTACATGGTGCTTCTCCTAGACTGTGGGAGAATTCACCGCACTTCATTAGACAGCTACCAACTGCCCAAGTTTAGCAGCCCCCAGTCATTAAAGTGCTGTCCCATTTATGTATCGCTTCTCTCTTTGGGTGCATGATTCTAAGGGCCAATCCCGAACAGCGGACCGACAACAGCGGACAATACACTGAACCAAAACCCGAAGACCTAGCATAAGAGAACCTTAGAAGTTCCCGTATGGGTGCTTCGGTCACGCTCCCGCGGTGGATCTACGCCCCGCTGGTTATCTATCCAAAAGACTCAGTAACCGGATGGTTGTAGACACTGAAGGTCCTTGCTGCGAACCGACAGCAATCGCGATCATGCCGTCAGTTCTTATCAGACCAGAATGCTCGAAATATTCATCGTCATCGTACAGCGAGATACAGTAAAGCGAACTTCACTGATCGCTACGAAGCTCATGACGCACACAAATCATGTGAAAGAGCGCAAGATAGAGAGGGATCGGGCCCAATTGGAGGGAGGAAAAGAAAGTGAACCTCCATGGTCAACACACGGAGTACACAATCACCATCATTATCGTACAGCGAAATGCGAAATGAAGCGAACTTTACTGATCGCTACCAAACCCGTAATGCATACAAGATTAGTGGTAAAATTTAAGGTGGACAGGGATTGGGCCCACTTCGAGAGAGGGAGAAGGTGAACCGGAATGGTCGACGCAGAGTGCACAATCGAAGTATGCATACATAACGTTTCAAGCGTTCTGGTCTGATAAGAAATGATAACAAGAACACCACTGCTGTCGGTTCGCTGCCACATCCTTTAGTGTCTCTAATCAACTGCTGAATATCCACCTTTCGGGGTGCATAAAGCAAATACTTGACTTGACTTGACTTGGTTGTGGAGTCTTTCTTACCCCAACCTGGAAGGTGAGACACCTACTCTACCTAATGGCTCAGTG